TTTTTTTTTTTTTTTTTTTTGTTAAACGTAAATTGTTTGACATTGTTTTTTAATTTTAGTATAAATGTTAAAACTAGTTTTATAAAGTAAGTGAAAAATAGTATTTATAAACTTAATAAAATAATATAATAAATTAGGGGAGGCTCACGATAAGAGCGTGAAGCCGCCCATAGGGGATGAAATTTGGTTCCACGGTCATAAATATGGAACGCGAAAAAAATGCAATAAGAGATTTTCTCCGCGTTTTTTTTTTGCGGTGGCCAGGTGTAACTTTTGGCTTCATCCATGACAGCTAAGCAGCCGCCGTGTATCCGCCGGCGATTAATCGCAGCACACCGACAGGTGGGAAATCCGCGTCTCATCATCGGTCAGACCGGTCTTCGTCCTCCATTCAAACACCGACATTCCAAATGCCAGATCAATTGAACATGGAATTTAATTATAATAAAATATAGAAACCCTCACCAACCAATTTCCAATTTATACTTTATTCTAAAATATTTTCAAAAAAATATTTAACTGTTTCCTCTTAAATATTTAACTATTGTTTTTTATTCATAATTAATAATACTAAAAAATTGAGGATATTATTAAAAAAAATTAAAAATATTTTTAAAAATAAATTACAAAATCAAGGTATATTTTTATTAAAGGGTCTAAATGGGCTTTTCTAGCATATTTTGTACTTTCAATTGGATCCTCGACGTGTACGGAATGTTCTAGATGCGATGCTTTTAGCATACAAAATTAGTGTTTATTTTTATGAGAATTAATGAACGGTGAGGATTCTTCGGGTAGCGTGGCGACAACTGACTAGTGACTCGCAAGTTGTTGTAAATGACGTGGCGCCAGGTGTAACATTCAGCATCCACGTGACTGCACCATTAAATTTGTTGTTTCACTTTTCAGTAAATATAGGATTTAATTCAGAAGTATATACCATTTTTCAAATTGATTTTCTTTTTCTTTTATAATTGCCTCATATTTTAAGAGTTTAAAATTAATTATTTAAAATCTTAAAAAAAGGATGGTTATTTTAAGTTAAATTAATAAAAATATTTATAAATTTTAGGTTTGTCAACTATTAAAAATTTTAAATTTTTTAAAATTATGTTAAAAAAATGTCTAAAATTTTTAAAATAGACAAGAATATAAAAATTAACAGACATGAAACTCACATATTATCTTTAAACTTTTTAATATTAGATTATAATATTATTTTGGGAAAATTTTAAAACATAGAATGCGCCAAGAATTTAAACTTAAAAGAAAACACTGAATTCAATTTGAAATAAACTAAGGTGAAGTACACGTAAAATGTAAATTAAAATATAAACTTTTATTTAACGTCTATATCACTTTTTATATATGAAACCATGGTTCAAAGCTAAACCAAATGCTCGCTCTTATTACACGAATTAAACCACTGAATCGATACTACAATTTTGCAAGAAATGCATCCTTAATGAGAAAAGTTGTTGCATTGTAGTATGTAAAGATCAATTTCAGCTGAGTGGATAATAACCAAGGATCTCATGCCATTTCAACATGGCCTGCATGCCTATGCTTGGCCACAACCGGGACTTCAATATCGTACTTAGAAGAGTCCATCTTCTCGCCTTGGCCCCAAATAGCATAGGCCTCTTCACCGTGGGCGGCCTCGTCGCCAATGGCCATGTCCTCCTCGGACATTCGGAGTGGCACGATGTATTGGAGGAGGACGCATATAAGGCTAGTGACGATAATGTTTATGAGGGTGACGAAGAGGATACCAAGGAGCTGGACGCCGAGTTGGCGGAAGCCGAGCTTGACTTGCTTTGAGTTGAAGCCGTAGAAAAGGCCAACGTACTTGTTGTAGGCGCCGTAGTAGACGAAGTTGAGGCGTGGCTCGGCGAAGATGCCGCTTAAAATGCCGCCTAGGCTGCCGGCGATGGCGTGGGTGTGGAACACGGCCATTGTGTCGTCCACCTTTTGGAGGATGGCGGATTTCTTGTGAACCACCATCATTGTGAACCATGGGATGGATCCTGATAGCAAGCCCATTATAATCGCGGCCCATCCTTGGACAACTCCTGGATTTGGGTTCACAAAATTTTACTTTGCTTCCAAAGTTAAAAAAATTTACCTAATTTAAATGAATAATTACTGAGAGAGAGAGAGAGAGAGAGAGAGGGTAAAAAAGATGGTGGGGGGTTAATAAGGGAGGGACCTGCGGCGGGGGTGATGCAAACGAGGCCGGTGATCATGCCCTGGACGGCGCCTATAACGGAGGGCTTTCGGAAGAAGATTATGTCGAAGATGAGCCAAGTGAGGAGGCTGGTGGCGGTGCAAACGTGGGTGTTTAGAACTGCCAGTGAGGCGTCGATGTTGGCGGCGTACGGGTCTCCGCCGTTGAACCCGGTCCAGCCCATCCACAGCAGCCCTGCTCCGGCCAGCATTAGAAGAATGTTGTTTGGAGGGAAGCTTTCTCTGTCTTTGGACAGCCGTGGCCCAACCTGACGGACACATTTTCCATTTCAATTTACACAGTAAAACTCATCCATTTTAATTTATAATTTAGTAAAATTATCCTTCAATTTTTTAAATGACTCTAAATTTTATATTTCGAGTTTAATAAGATCACAAAATTTTTAAAAAATTAAAAATTTATTACATTTTTTTAATTGAGATATTAACGCAAAATTAAGATTTATAAGACATTTTTTAAATTAAATAGACATAAACCAAATTTTATGACTAAACCCCTCATTTAACCTATAATTTATAAATTAAATTACAACTTTAATTCTTGTTAATGTCTAAAAAAAAATCTTAAATATAAAAAATGTCTAATAAATTATCTTTCTTAAATAATACTAACTTTTAAAATATTTTAAAAAAATATAATAATTTTAGAACGGTTAATAATTTATTTAAAAATAATTTGAGTTTTTAAAATTTTCTTTAATATCCTTAAATTTTTATAAAAATTAATTAAAAAATTATTTTAGGTTGAAAATTATTAATACCACGTTTCAAAATATACCAATTAAATTTCAAAATTAATATCAATATCCCTGAAAAGAAAAAAAAAAAAAAAAACTTTAAGTTGATTCATGGGAAGGTAATTAACCATTTGGATAGTAATTTTTAAAAAAAAATAAATGTTAGGAGTATTAATATTTTTAAAATTGAAGAGTAATTTTAAAATAATATTGAAAATTTAAGAATATTTTATAGGTTTATATATATATATATATATATATATATATATATCTATATGTTATTATGTTTGGTACCCAATATGCAGCGGTGAAGCCGGCAACGCCAGAGGACAAATGAATGACGTAGCCACCAGAGTAATCAATGAGTCCCATTTTAAAGAAAAACCCATTAGGACTCCAAATACTAAACGCCACAAACGTATACGAAAACGTAAGCCAAAGCGGCACGAACAGCATCCAAGCGTAGAAGTTCATCCGCCCAAGCAGCGCCCCTGCAATCAAAACCAGAGTAATCGCCGCAAATACGAATTGAAAGAACACCATTGTCGCCGACGGCAGCTTCCCACTAAACGCCTGTTCCAGCAGAAACTGCTGGTCCAACGCCACATTCAGCTTCCCCCAAAACGGCAGTAACTTATCCCCAAACGACAGCCGGTACCCCCACCCCACCCAACACACCAGCACGCACGCAAAGGCGTACAGCGCCATGAAGGCTGAGTTTATGGCCCATTTCTTCTTCACCGCCCCGCCGTATAGGATTATCAGACCTGGCACGCTTTGCAGCCCCACCAATGTCGCCGCCGTCATCTGCCAGGCGTTGTCGCCTTTGCTCATCCATTCCGGGTTCGCCGGATCTGGGAGGAGGTTTGATGGCAGTGGGACGATCAGGCTCATCTTTTTCCTTTGGTTTTGGGGGAAATTATTTTTGTTGATTCTGAAACCAGCTGGGGATTCGACGGCTTATAACTTGGGGGCTGCGACTTGGATTGTGACGATAAGCTGTTCGAATATGGCCTTTTATTTATTTATTTATTTTTGTCGTGGCCTTCTAATTTTTTTTTTTTTTTTTAATTTTCATAATTAATGTTGAAGATGGTTAGGAGTGAGTCCCACATTGGTTAATTTAGTAGAAGATCATAGGTTTATAAGTAAGAAATACTATTTCTATTGATATAAGGATTTTTGAGAAAGCTCAAAGCAAAGTCACGATAACTCATGCTCAAGGTGAACAATATTATATAGTCTAATTTTCAATTTTATTTATTATTTTTTTTTTTGGGTTATTATTTTTTTTTTGGGTAATTGAAGGTTCTATTTTAACCGTTGAAATTTTATAATAAATTAATAAATAAATATGGTTTAAAGTTTTATATAATAAGAAACCACTGATAATTGGGCGTGTGATCCAATTAGAAGCTTAGAAGAGGCGATGCCTTCAAAGATTTAGATAAAGAAAAGGGAAGTTGATAGAGCCATTAATGGCCAAAAACTTTGTGAATGTCGAACACTTGCATTCTCGTTATATTATTTTCCAACTTTTAGCTGTGTCTTTTTAAATTAATTAATTATTTATTTAGATTCCGTTCCATGAAGAGAGGCTCCGCTTAGCCCGATCATCCTATTCGCTCCAAGAGACAAGCATGGTTTTGTACTCAAAACAACTTCGTCATTTTTGTTGAGATAAATATTTGAAGAATATATTTTTATTTTATGATTTGATTAGTAGTATATTTTATTTTATTTTTAATATTTAATTAATTTATATTTTATTATCGGTAGGTATTAGTTGCTAGCTTGTATTCTCCTATATACACACCTTTAATCCTAATTCTATTTCTTATTTTTAACAACTTTCATGTACCCGGTAACGCTTTCAGGGTTTCTTAGAGACCGATTCAATCTGCATATATTGACTGAACGCAAAAAAGTCTTTCATTTGTAGGCGATCGTGTTTTTCAACCTGAACCCACCGTTAGTAGATATTGTTCACCTTGATCCATCACGTATCGTTGTCAGCCTCACAATTTTTAAAACACATTTACTAGCAAAAAGTTTTCACGCTCTTATAAGAAATGTTTGTTTCTATCTCCAACCGAGGTGAGATCTAACAATCCACCCACTTAAGGGACCAGCATCTTTGGTGGAGTACCGCCTGGTGCTCTGATACCATTTGTAACAACTTAAGCCCACCGCTAGTAGATATTGTCCGTTTTGATCCGTTACACGTCATCGTCAACTTCACAATTTTTAAAACCTGTCTCTAGGAGAAGTTTCTACATCCATTCTTGGTTCTTCTCTTTAACCAAGAATCGAGAAGTAGGTTGAACCCCAAAACAAGAAGACCTAGAAATGCATCCATTCATATAGATAGCTTCTTTTGTTATTCTCTATATCATTCTCTCTTATACGCTAATGAAATACATTGCTTTGAAGCAAATAACCAAAGACCTTTTCTTTCTTTCCTTAAGCCATCTCTTTTACGCTTAACAAATCCCTCCATAAAACCCTTCTAATTGTCAAATAACCCTTACAAAATTAAAAATTACAACTTTTTCCACGTTTTCCCTTCCGAAATTTGCTCAAAAGTCCTCTCGATGATTTCCGCTACTATCTCTATTAAGGTCAGCAAATCTCTACATGTTTTCATGTAAGGAAAAGAAAGAAAGAATCGTTGTATGCATATACGATTGTTATTGACCTTATCATTATAGCTATTAAGATTATATTATAAATCTCGGTTAGAAATAGAAGTATAAAAAAATTTATAAATTGTAATAACTCAAGCTCACCGTTAGCAGATATTATCCGTTTTGACTCATTATATATCGCTATTAACTTCACAATTTTAAAACACGATTTTATAAGACGCATCTATCAGGGAGAGGTTTCCATATCTTTTTAAGAAATATTTTGTTCCCCTCTACGATTTGATGTCATGTAATCATGGTCAATGTGACATTATTATGTGTGGGGACCACAAACCGATTCATTTCGTTCCGCTCTTCAATCGAGGTACCAAGTACCTCTAGATTATGTATCCATGACTGTAATGTCATGTAATCATAGTCGACCTGACATTATTATGTGTGGGGACCACAAACCAAGTTAGATAATTAACCTAATTCTATTTTTGTTCGTTCCGTTTTAAGAAAGGAACATCCAAAAAAAATAATTTTTTTTAAAATTTTTTCCTTGATTATCGAAATTTGGCCGTTATATTTGGCAAGTCCTAAATCTAAATTTGAATTTTACTATATATTTCAAAAAATTATGAAAGAAAAAAATAAATTAGAATTAGGTGGGGTGAGATAAATCAATCAAGAACAGGTTTTTGTTCATAAGGAACTGAACGACATGTCGAATCCTCTGTTCCTCTCTGGATTCCTTTTCTCCGTCTTCTTCGCCGCTCACCTCTTCCAATTCTGTCATGGAGACCTCGGCACTGCTACATTCTACACCGCTCCTTATCTACGTGAGTTCGCATTAATGTTCTTAATTTTTCGAATTTCTTCGTTTTGCGGCGGCGATGAATGAATGAATGAATGAATGAATGAAATTTGACACAGCCACCGCCTGTGCCGGAAAAGATACCTCGGCGTTTCCGGCCAACAACCTGTTTGCGGCGGCCGGAGAAGGAATATGGGAGAATGGAGCGGCATGTGGAAGACAGTACCAAGTGAGGTGCTTCTCTGCCGATGTGCCGAAGTCGTGCGTTCCAGATCAGATTATTCAGGTGACCATCGTGGATCGTGCGATTTCGACGGTGACGAAGCCGGCGAGAGGGGATACGACGATGGTGTTGTCGACGACGGCGTATAAATCCATTGTTCAAAGATCTGTGTCGCTCGTGAACATTGAATTTCGGGAGTGAGTGGTTTGGAGATTTTTTCTTTGAATTTTGGGGATTTTTTGTGGTTTTTTTTTTTAATGGAATTTTCTGTGGATTTTTGTAGGGTTTGAAATGAATGTTCATCAAGCAGAGGAAGATGAAGTCCGAAGTCCATTGTGTTCAGTTTCCGCCATTGACACACATCTAATTTCTTCTGTTCTTTTCGCCTCCTCAAATCTGAATCCCACCACAACTTACAGTCTAATTTTCTTATTAATAGTATTTTCAAAAGAAATATATATATATATATATATATGAATTCCGCACATACTTCTTATATTGTCTAATAAATATTTGAATTCCAGAGGGACGGAAATTTTATCATCCTCGTTTTCGTCACCTATTTCAATTTTTGTCGGGATTGAAATGATATTTTCCAAAATTTATAGGGTCAACATTTTATTTTCTTTAAAAAATATTTTTTTATATGATTTTTTTATTGGACAATTGAACATTATTCAACATAATTGTTAGAAATTGGAATTTAAGGTATGTAAATTAATATATGTATAAAATAAATATACAAATTAATATGGTATCTATTAACTATAATAGATTTTTTTTTATATAAATATTATCGAATTTATTAGGCACAAAATTATAAAGCTTTCCATTAGAAATAACATATTTAATAATTAATTTTTAAAATTTTAGCTAATTTAAAATTGAGTAAATACAAAATTAAAATTTTGTTAGGCATTAAATAAAAAGTTAAAATTTATTAGTTTGGCTAAAAAAAAACATGTAATTTATGAAAAAAAAAATAGAAAATTCGTGTAAATTGTGTAAGTCGCATGCATTCACATGGGCGGCCAAAAGCGAATTTGACAATGAAAGTGGTCACGTGATCGGATCATAAAATGGCAATTGCATTCGTACTCCAAAATAATAATAATAATAATAATAAAATAAAGAAAGAAAATCAAAACAAACTTTTATAAATTCTCAATTTTTATGCCTAATATATATATATATATATTTTTTTTTTTAAATGTCAAACAATATTTTTTTAAATTAACAAATTAATTAGACATAAATTAATTTATTTCATATGATAGAATATTAAAATTTCAAATTTTAGGTTTAATAGGTTAGTGATTTTTTAAAAAATTATTGAATATATTAAGAACTTAATAAACCTAAAATTAGGGTTTAGGGTTTAGACAATGGTTGAAGTTAAAGGACATATTATAGATTGAAAGTACGTGAACCTTTTAACTTATGATCGTTTAATACTTTAAAGTAAATAATGAAGTACCCTGATTACGAGACGAAGTGTTCGACTAAATTAATAGAACGTAACCTATAATATTCTGTATGTCATTCTTTTAAAAGAAGATATATTGATATTAGTTTATTTAACTTTATCGAGAGTTTGCTCGATTGGACAATTTATAATGAAAATTGTTAATGCAACAATCAATCGAATAGTAATTCGGCTCAAAGCTAAACCGACACTAGAGACTACTATTCCTATAACAGCCGGTAGACTTGTAGTTAGCTATTAGACATAAAGAATTGAATTGGACCAATGTTCTTGGTTGATCATTTAAATTGAGTTTTGAAAATAAGTTATTTAGATGATTTGCATTCAGACCTGTGAGGATGATAGCCAAAGAAAAGAGAATGAGAGGTAACATAATGTCATTGTTGTTCGAACCGAGTTCGAGTGAGAGAGATGGTCAGCATTAGAGCAATAACTATGCCATCGAGAATTTTTTGGTCTTGAACATGGCACCGAAAAGATGGGGTGGAAGAAGACTTGATATCGAGTACGATTCAACGAAACTTTATTACAATATAAAGCCAAAAAGCTTGTCTTAAGGCATGATTGATGAAGTGATTCTTACTCTATATGTAGAATATGCCAATTATGGCACAAATATTCCAAACCTTCCACATCAATTCTTGACTAATAAGAAATGGCCAGAATATCCTCAAGACAATAGTTTGGTATATAGAATGCTATTAGGTGGATCCCAGGCATTTCTACATCCGAATTATACACTAATGTGGATATATCGACAGATGGAAGAATTCAACCTATGAGATCCCAAATCGATCGGAAAAGAAAACAACACATTGTTTATAAGAGTGTGAAAACCTGTCCTTACTAGATGCGTTTTAAAAACCTTGAAGGAAAGTCTGAAAGGAAAAGTTCAAAGATGACAATATCTATTAGCAGTGGGCTTGAGCCGTTACCCAACCTCAATATTAAAGATTCATCAATCAATTATATATTTTTTTTTATAAATACATATAAAGCATTAAAAAAAACATCTATTAGATCCCTTGATATAAATTCTAAGCACTTTCTCTTTCATAATCCAACTGTGAAAGATTATCAATCACATTGTGACGGTCTCATTATCTCCCAGGAATTCGGTTGGGCACTGTTCAGACTAATTAGTAAAAGGAGTTTAACAACAGTACACCACCACCTTCAATCCCTTTCTACTAATCATGAATGCATAATTAAGTGATTGTGTAACAATGGCACTGATACCAATTGATTATCTTCACAGGAATCAATGAGTAAACACCTTCAAATCAATAAATGAATGGCTAATTCAACTCTTACCTAACCACCTAAACTTTTGAATGCCAAAAATATTCAGAACCTTTCTACTCCACAAGTATTAAAACAGTGTCCTAATCAAACAATGCCAACATTTCATATTAAGGGCAAAAGTAACCATCAATGACAAGGCAATAAATAGATTTATAACTTGTTCTAAACATCCTCAAGAAGCACACAGAAAGATTTACTCAATTACCAGATGGGACAAAATTTGCATGTCAAAAAGCCCTCTAGCTCCAACGGTATTCGATCTCGACCTGAATTGACTAACTAAATTCATAGGGAGGTAAAGGAGGGTTCAAAACAATTTTGTAGGACACAGCTCAGGAATGAACTCAAGTTGGAAGGTTACTTCTTGGTCTGAGTTTGAGTGATTAACTTGGTAAGAACATAGCAATCTGGCGGGGTAATGTTTGCGTAATAGTTCTGAATGGTTTCTGTAATCTCAAACCCGAATTTCGTATAGAATTTGATGGCGTCATCATTATTCGTCTGAACATGCAAATAGATTTCAGGAATGTTTTGCTTTGAGCAGAGATCAAGAACGTGATTTAACAGTTTACTACCTGCATAAAACCAAGAACATAAAAAAAAACAACCAACTAAAAGAATGAAGACTTCTCATTTCAATTGAAAGCTTTTACAGAATATATATGTATACACACACACATATATGGGCCCTTTGACCCACTACGATACTTATATTTGCACGCCTTGTGCCAGTACGTTATTTTATTATTCGGTTATTCTAGTCACGATTACTAGCAAATGTCAAATAACCTAGGGAACAATGATCTGACATTGCTAACAGATATTAGAAGATCTCCTAAAAGATGGTAAAATGCTTGGAGAATACCATAAAAGGAGTTCTTTCAGATCAGTGCCAACCAAGATCAGGACGGCCATCCAGTTAATTGGAAAATGGCTGGCCTCTTTTGGCGGCCTAGTTATAGGACTTTGAAAGAAAGGAACAACGCTCTCCTAGTTAAGTGGAGGAGGAGATTACTAATGAGGAAAATGCTCTTGGAGGGTTTAGCAGTAAATATGGACTTGAACAGAAAGATTTTTTATGGAAGATCCAGAACTGCAATATAGGATACTAACAATAAACAAGCAGTAATTACAGTAGTTGGAATGACAACAGTTGTAACAGGGATTTGCATCTGGGAAGAAATCTATTTATTTTGCAAAGAAATTTGAATGTTGAATCCTTCTTAAAGAAAAAGTGAAATCAGTGAGTCTCAGATCTTCACAGATGGACGGTTCAGCCCTGAGATAAAATTGAGAACTTTGAAGTTAAGTCAACTTTGTGAACAGTTCTCAATGTCACAAAAGTTGAAGATACTTTCAGCTAATCAGATCTGTAAAGGAAAAATCCCAAAGAATGAAATATTCCATTGGTGGCCTACTGCCTAGCCGGCCCATCCCCTAAAACACTTGCAGTCTGGGACCCTAAGAAGAAGAAACTCTAGATCATCTATTTTTGCATTGCCTTCTACTGCTAGAGGATTCTCTCTTCAGTTTAGAATTTTGAAATACCTTCTTTGTTTTTTTTCCAGATAAGCTTGAATTTTGGCTTCCTTAACCTCTCTTTAGTTGGTGGCTGTAAGATTGTATCAAAGCTAAAGTGCATCAAAACTGTACAATTAGAGATTTCTAATGGAATCTTTGGCTAGGAAGAAACGGAAGGATGGTTCAAGATAGAGAAAAACCTCAGGAACCTTTCAGTGAACTTTGTACAATATATTGCATGAAGTTGGAGAGCCCTTCACAAGAAGCTGTTTTGTGATTACGGTTATGTATATATATATATATATATATATATATATTAATTCGGATGGAAGCTGCATATCAACATACGATAAGCCTTTTCACGATACGGGTTTTCTCTTCATTGGCCATAAGGTTGACACCTCTTTTCTTTTCTGTTTTTAATATACCCTATCTCCTATTTAAAAAAAAAGAATCTCATAAGAGATTTGAAGTCGATACTTACCGATGCCTAGTCCACGGTACGGTGCTAGAACACCCAAGGTCATGATGTAGACACGAACAGATCCATGTTCTTTCTTCTCAAGGCGACATGCAATGGAACCAACACATATATCACTGTAGTATGCTGCAAAATCAATAGAAATACATTGTTTTAGCCTTTTGAAATACTACTAATACATTCATTGTACTGAGATAGATGAAGTAATTATTAACCAACACTGATTCAGCTTTTAAGTATGGCACAAGAATAACAGGATAGTTTTACCTTTTTTTTTTAATGAAAAACAGGATAATCTTATTTCTGAAGATACATTCAACCTTTAAGAATAAACTGGATTAGGCATGCTGCAGCCTGCGGGTCTACTAGCCATCAAACTACTGAAATACCAAGCCAGAGATTTCAAAAGGGAAACAGATTGTTCTTTCTCCTAGTTTATTTTTTGCATAAACATGCAAGTTTGCAACGAGTCTAAATTGGAAATGCACAATGCAAATGATGGGCCGTGGGAGAAGCATTGTCAAAACGATAGACAAAGAAAGTGAATGAAGATAATGCAATTAGAGTGGAGATTGTTTCAGAAATCATTCATATCAAACTCCGAGTGTAATAATCAACTGTAATAGTGAAAGAATATGAGGATCATTCCAATTATCTTTGAAGAAAGATCAAAACATCCATTCCAACAAGACCT